ACAAGAGAGAGATAGAAGAACGTTTCGACTAACCAAGTTTTGGATTTTGTTGTCATTTCGCTACCAGCTAGCAAACTCATCATAATTTCGCTAGCTAGCCTCTTTCATTTCGCTAGCAGCCTTTGTTCTTTGATTGTTATTGTTACTGCACTGTAGACCATGGCCAACACCAAGAAGAAGGCTAGTGAAGAGGCCGAGGGTCCTTTTTGGCGAGAAGAAGAGGAAGAGGAGGTATCGCTGAAAGACGGAAGGAAGACAAGAGGAAGACTCTTAGCCGAACGAAGCATGCCAGAAGAATAAATTGTAATCGCAAATTGCCTCCAGAACCAGGTAGGGCCTTTTTCGCTCCTGGAATGCTCCTTGCATGATTGGGCACTGCTTCCATCGATGTGCATACAGTCAAGACTTCAAAGCATTCCAGGAACACCTTGGGCCGCCAAGTGAAGATTGGAAATATTTACGTAAATCAGTGGCAGTCGCAAACAAGATACTCGCTTGTACAAATGAGCCAGAATGCATCTCAAAGTTACTGGGCGGCAATCCCTTGCGAAGGTCTGCGACATTTGGAAATAGCACGGAATGGTTGAGCGGGAACACCGTATGCCAACACATTTCAACGGCATCAATAGACGTGCGTCCAAACATGATACCTTCCGGCGAAAGCATCAGTGGACCCGCTGTAGAACTCATGACCCGAATTCATGACATTTCTCTCAATCTCTGGTAAAGAGGACGGCTGATGCGGTAGATATCCTCAAATTCCTTGAAATCAAATGTAGGGACCGGTTCAAGTACCACCAATATAGTCGTCTAGAATACACTGGAAAGCCTCTGGATGGTGTATTGCCCCCCCCTTCCCGAGGTTTCCTTGGCAAAAGACGGTGTCAACCATGGGCTGTTGTGTGCCATGTAATCATCCGTGGCCAAAATTACAGCGGTATCTGCCATTCCCATGACGATGTCCAAGGCTCCCTGGAAGAGTCGGAATCCGATGAGGACGACAAATAATAATAACGGCCTAGCTACCACAGAGGTGCCCACCACAGAGGTGCAAAGAGCTACCGGTACAGTGACTATAAAGACAGTGACTAAAACGGTTGAGTTACAGCTTGGCTTGTTGGGCAAGTAGATGCCTCTGTTGTTGAGGCTGTGCAATGAGGCTGATTGAAGATTGATTCTTAAAGAGTTCTTAAAGAAGCTTTAGTCGTTATGTTCGCTCACCGACTAACCAGCCTCCGTTAGTCGGTGAGCGAACATAATGACTAAAGCCTTTAGTCCGTGGGACGTTTAGTCGCTTGGGTAGACACCACCCTCAGAGACTAAACTATCGACTAAACTACGAAATATGGCTTAGTCGCTACTTTAGTCGCTTGGGTAGAGAGCGGCCTTACTACCTCCCCGATCGGATTCAATGGAATGATAGAGAATGTATCGAAACTCGCACACTGGGTCCCGATTGGCACGGCAAAACAGCCATGCACAGGTATATGACTTTATCCTATGTCCCACATTGATCCTATAGGCATTCCATTCACCGTTTTCAGCTCTGATATTGTTGATAACAGGTGCCGTGTAGCTGTTTCCTGCAACAAGTGCGTCCTTGATGGAGCAAAGTGGTTCCGATAGTGCCTTTTCGATATCATTTGAATAACCAAAACAGACCCCACCCGAAGTCACAGTGATAGTACTAGTAGTACCTTCAGGTTGAATGTCGGTGTTGCCTTCAAATGGATGCCAGGGTGGGCGGGGGTTCTCGAGTCGTCTAACATACTCAGCCTGTTCTTCCGCGCACATGGCGTCCCTCTTGGCCTCATATTCCTCCTCGGCCTTTTTCTGGGCTTCTCTCTCTGGGCTTCTCGTTTCGCGGTTTGACAACGATAGCACAGTATGTCGGTGTCTCCTTTTCGGGCTCTGCGTGATTCTTTCTTTGAGAAATGGAATTCGCTGTCCTTGCATTCCTTGCATTCCGAACATTGAAGAGTTCGGTTGTCTGGGAGTCGTCCTGGTTGCTGCTTGCAGGCATCATCATGCCCTGAACGATTGAATTCCTTTGCGATATTGGCCTCCGGTTTCGCACTTTCGCACAGATTGCAGATAACATCGCAGTCGCCATTTCGGGTTCTGCGAGCTTCCTTTAATGAGTAATCCAATCTGTTTTCCTTGCAGTCCGAACACTGAAGAGGTTGCTCGCCAGGGAGTCGTAACTGAAAGTCTTTGCATTTAAAACACAGTGCCGGTTCGCCCCTGATGGCTTTCTTTCGTTCTTTCTTGGACAGCCGACCAAACTTGCCACAGAACGAGCAAATTTGATGAGGGTCGTTCATTTCGAGATACTAACTATAAGAAAGCTTGAAGGCCATAGTACAAGGTTTGGAAGATAGTACCGGTAGGCAGCCAAAGAAATGGATGACCAAAGTCTAGTAGACCTCCCTTTTACAAAAACGATGGACCCTCCTTTCTGCGGTCCAGAAAGGGGAAAATGATGTGAGGTTGGGAATTCGGCCGTCTGTTGAGCTCTTCCGTCATGTGAGGTTGGGAATTCGGCCGTCTGTTGAGCTCTTCGGTCTTCGGTCGGTCAATGGTCTTGCAAGCCAAACTTCGAGCCAAATCCCCCCAAGCACGGCGAATCGAATCGAATAGAATCGAATAGAATCGAATTGAACGGAATCGAATCGAATCTCTTCGAATCATTCGGTTGGGGACTTGGGGAATTCGTGACTAAGGTCGACGTTGCCACAATCAATCCCCTCGTCGACGTTGCCACAATCACACAAATCAACGAACGGCTTCGTTGCCCTCGACAAGACGACTTCACTTGTCGACTTTCTTCTTCTTCCAATTGTGCCAGTCCCTCTTCGACAAGTCCAACGATTTCCGCTTTCAAGCTCGCCGTCGACCTGTTGCCTCTTCGAGTGGTGAGAGCTGTTGCGTTGGTCGTCTCGTGGATTTCGGCTCCTCGTCCTTGAGCTGGTCGTTTCCTCCTCGAAAGCCTTGCTCACGAGGAACAAGTTCACTCTTAGCTGTCATCCAGTGAGGAACGCAAGATGGTCCAATCTAAACCAGTCGAAGAGCTCGAGAAGGAAGCCGACGTGAATCCTTTGCTGCGCCATGTATTGGCTCTCGACGAACTCTCCGTCATTGAAGAAGTGTACAAAGCCAATCCAGACAACTTGACGAGTGCAGTGCTCCTCACAGCCTGTCTTGATGGAGCCAAGCCTGGTGTCATTGCGTTCTTGGCTCGAGCCAAACCAGAGCTGGCCAAAGTTGGAGCTCCTTGGGTCTTCGGGGAATACGACTACAACGACAGCGAGTGTCGTGGAGGTCGCTTGCCGGTCCACTGCGCTTTGCACTGCATTTTGACTTGCCGAGATCCTGCAATCAATGTCCCATCATTTGAAGACATCAAAGCACTATTGGAGATCTTCCCAAAGAGCGTTGATATCGACGATCCTTGTACGGATCGAAGCCCTCTCAAGGCATGCGTTCAAGGAAATGTCAACCTCGAGACGATCATGTATGCGTTTTCTACACATGGATGCTCTACATATTCCCAGAGCTCGTTATGTTTCGATTTCAACCAAGATACTTCCGATATTGTGAATCTGCGCCACGGGTTTGATCAAGACTGCGTAAAAGCGCTGTCCATGTTGATGCGCGGGACAACAGTGAGAGAATGCGACTTTGAGTTTGGGCGAGTACACGACGAGGCCTTTGGCGACCTTTTCTTTACGCTTCTCGTGAACAAGAGTATCACCAAGTGTTCCATCGAAGTGTCTTCTCTCACGTCCCCAGGTGGTGGTCAGCCGAATGTTCAACGAATCTGCAATTCAGTTTCACGAACTGCACGGCACGGCGAGAGCGCGCTCGAAAAGCTCAAACTTGCCTTGCCTGACGAAGGAGGATGGGATATTGTCTATAGCTTATGCCAACTGCCGAATTCCCGCCTGACCAGTCTCAAACTTCAAGTTCGTCAAGTGTCGGATGCCGCCGTCCCAGCGTTGAGTCTGGTGCTTGGCGGAGAAACCTCGGTCCGTCGATTTGAGCTTTCGTCGCATTTTGGGTGTGAAATCAACTTGGACCCCCTCTTGGATTTGCTTCGAGTGAACACAACTTTGGAAAGTCTTCTAGTTGAAGTTGGATATAATGAAGACAAACACAAGATTGCTCACTGGAAGAAGCACCTCGGAACCGTTGTCGAGGAAGACAACTGCTCGTTGATTGCAGCGTCAGTAGTCGGACGCAGCTACCGCTTCAGTTTGAGGCGCAACAAGTCCCGCAAACTCAGCAACTTGGACTACTTTTTGAAGCTCAATCGTTGCGGACGTCGGGTCTTGAAGCAAAAAGAGTCTTGTCTTGTCGAAGACCTTGTGGAGTCCTTGGGATATTTGGTAGTTGATGAAGGCAATTATTCTATGCAGCACAATGATTTGTTGGAAGCCAACACGTACTTCTGGCTCCTTCGAGAAGGGTTGGAGTTGTGGGTCCCCTCTCCTGCTTCCCTAGCTTAAGTCGGTCTCTGGTGCTGAAAGGTGATTTCCGTTTCTGTGATGTTTCGACAACGGCTGAAAGTGACTGATTTGCACGGCGCGTTCTGCTCAAATCTCCTGCAGTGGAGAATGATAGGACGTTCCATTTTACTGCATGGCAGATCCAGTAGCTTTATCTAAAAATGAATTACATGTACCTATTTAAACACCTGACCTTATATAGATTGTGATTTGGGAGAGCACACGAATCATTGCAGCCAGCAATCGATTTGATTGATTGATTGAATCTCTCTCTGACCATTCAAAGAATACAGAAAATGAAATGCTGAAATGGAAATGCGTGTTGTTGCGTTGTCCTCCTATCCTGTAGCCTCCACAGCCAATTACTCCGACAGTTCTTGCCTTTCTTCTCGTTTTGCCAACTGATGCCTTACGCAGCGTGTTCACCTGTTGTCGGCGGTACCAAGTATTCCTCATTGCAGACTAGAATTTGCAAGAAAACAAGTAAGTTAGAAAGAAGAGCGGAAGCAACATTGATTTCTGCCATTGTTATCGTTTTTTCGTACCTGGACAAGCCGTCTGATACTGCAACCAATTGAACATGCACGTCTTGTGAAAGGAATGACGGCACTTGTCACTGCGCGAGCTACAGACCATGTCTCCCGTGTCGAATCCTCGTTTGCAAATGGGACAAGAATCTCGACTACTGTAATAGTTGTGCTGATCTGCTGATGCTGGATCGTCTTCGTCCGTCTTGGCTTCTTCGGGATGCACTTCGGCCATCCAAGTTTGTACCACGAGACCTTGTTCAATTTGGTCCACACGATCTTGGCCTGAGTATTACAATCATATAAACAGAAAAATGGTAAGACACACTGACTTGCTTGTTTCATTTTTGTTCGTTTGGTTGGTTTGTTGATTCGTTCTTACCCGACTTGATTTGCGACGCCGCAGACGACGACAAACGTTGGGACCCTGCTTGCATACTTCTAGCACTACTCATACGAGTACTACCACCCCGCACGGCTTCCAACTGAGCTCGTTTTTGTTCTCGGTTTCTGCGATCGTGTCGCACGAGAACAAAGAACAGGACCCCCGTCAGGAAGAGGCCACAGACAAAGATAATGGCCACCAGACCGACCACATGCATTTCTTCTTCGTCGTCGTAGTAGGCATCCCCATCGCGATCTTCAATTTCCACATAAACGGTATCCTCCGTGTGACCCTTGTGCTGGTAGTCTACCGGCAGATATTCGTCGTCGCTCAAAATGGGAATTTCGCCGCTCATGATGCTTGCTTGGTGGTGGTGGTAGTTGAGTTGAGTTGAGTTGAGTTGAGTTGAGACTTGGATATGACAGAATAGAAGAGTAGTGTACTAGTAGTGTAGACCAAGCCAAAGGAAAAGAAATGAAGAGGCAAGACGAAAGTACTAGTACTGTAGTCAACAACTTCAAAGGATGAGCGGTCTATCTATCTTCTCTCGCAAGGAGTACACAAGTGCAGGAGTCAAGGAGTCAAAGAAGTGGATGGTTGACCTTGCAAGGACAACAACAAGAAAACCGAGTGTTGGTACTGTAAGATAGCACCGGTACTACCATATCGTTCCGTACAATCCGTACCGTACATGCACCGTCACGGTTCGGGGGTGTCACATCCATGTCTGATTTTGATTTTGCGCGATCGGTTTCCCTGACCGCCATAATCTTTCAGCGTTCTCCTTCCAACAGTTAACCGAAAGAATTAAGGATTTGGCGATGGTGAACATTGTCACTTAGGATCGTGTACAAAAATTGTGACGTCACGAAAACTGAAATCTGAGGATTGATTCGTGAACCAATTCAATCCCGTTCCCATTCCACAACCGCCAACTTTGGCACCCTCGCATTTGCATTGGTGTGAAAGGATCAGTTGGGTTGTTGTTGGGCATGTGAAGAAAGCCAAGCATTGAAGAAGGATGCTTCCCTACCGCCTCCGTCCTCCAGTCTATGGGAACAAGTGGAAGAAGACAAAAGGCACTCAAGGAAATGTCGAACCTGAATACAGTCCACTGAAAGAAGCCATTCAACAAGACCTACGCCATATTTGGTCTCTCTCCGAGCAGCAGCAACAAGAATTGACACAACAAAATGACGACGCTACTACTACTGACAATCACGTTGAAGAAGGTCGTATCTTTTCCCAATTTCGATCAAGTGCAATGGAAGAAGCCAAACTATCGTTGCTACTGACGCTGCTCTATTGTCCACGCTCCGACCGTGCCAAATGGACCCAATTGCTCTACGATGCCTGCTTGGAATTTGACAATGACAATCCGCCATTTTGTCTCTACGCCGCGGCGGAAAGCAGTTCCGTGGCACAAGGAGGAACACTCGAAACAGCAACTCTGGCTCAAAAACGAAACCTCTTGCCCATGGATGTTCAAGACAATTCGCGTTTCAAATTTCGACGATCCTTTGATCAACCCATTCGCATGAGCAGATGCCATTTCACTCAATTGCTGCAATGGCAAGAACAAGCACTGGCCGGTCATGCCGACTGTGAATTGCAACAATGGCACGCACGAGAAGAACGACTCCATAAACGCCAAAGAATACTGGAGGGTGATACTGCTGACACTACTAATACGGAAGAAAACCAAAACAACAATCAACAGGAATGGACTTGTCGTTGTGGGGGACTCTGCGATTCACTTGCCATTCTGCCGCGCATATTTGACAGAGTCGATCTTTCGTCCTATCCAGGGCCATTGTCTCTAGAAGCACTGGCGGCACGAATTCATCATCAACAACAAAAGAAACCACCACCACCACAGCCTGCCAACAATGGAACTCAACAAGACAAGACTGTTGACCCACTCCTACACAATAATAATACTGACGAAACTGCGACAAACACGTTTGCAGCAAGACATGCCACCACGCTCTTGTCTCAAATACAAAAGTACAAGTCCTATCCCATCTTTGTAGAGACTCGGGCGAACATCCAACACAACAATCTATCCTGGTGGAGGGACAAATTGGCGCCGTCGCTACAAGCGTCCGAGTCGTCCCTCCAACGGTTGGCATCCTTCTGTCGTTCGGGAGAAGCCACAGTACATGTCCCACAGAAACCAATAGACAAGGAACACAACTCCCAAAACAGCAACAAGAAAAACAACAACACCAAGCAGTCTGGTACAAACGATAGCACATCCAATGCAACAGCTACTAGAGCCAACGACGCTGCGGATACGGAGACTGAACAGACCGGACAAGGAGTTTCCTATGACGTGGTGCTTCCGGAACACATTCCAATGGCGCTGCGGAATGGTATCCAACAGGCTTTGAATTCCATGCTCCAACGAAATCCACCCAAACCTGCCACAACAGGTGATACGCAGGAGGAGAGCGTGGTTCCTGGAACGGGAGGGGCAGCCTTGAGAAATTTGTTGGCTCAATCCGCTACTACCAAACACAACACGCAGGTATCATTTGTGGGGGAGAGCACCGATGTGGCTGAAGCATCCGAATATCCAGTCGCCAGGGATGATGACAGTGTGACGCAGAGCTCGCTTCCTGGCATTGGTGGAGCAGCCCTCGGGGCCTTGCTAGCACAAGCTACTCGAAAATCTACGGCAGTCGCCGATGATGAAAGCATTGCTCAGAGCTCGCATGCTGACAGCTTGTTTTTGAGACGATCCAAAGAAAGGACCAACAATGCTACGCCAGAAAGGCCAGCTGCTTTGGATGACGATAGCATAGCACAGAGCACAGGTCCAGGTCATGGAGGAGCTGCGCTTGGGGCCTTGCTAGCACAAGCCACTCGAAAAACTACAACAGAAAAAAGAGCTACCGATGATGACAGCATTGCTCATGCCGGCTCATTTGCAAGAAGATCGAGAGAAAGGGCCCAGATGGAAGGACCCGTTGCTTTTGATGATGACAGTATAGCACAGAGCTCACGTCCCGGCCATGGAGGAGCAGCACTAGGCGCCTTGCTAGCACAAGCAAACAGTCCGGCCGCCTTGGATGATGTTGGCACAGCTCAAAATTCAAGTCTTGGCCACAAAGTACCGACCATGAGACGGCGAAGGGCCACAGCCAAGGCTGCACCATCAAGACCAGCTGCCTTGGATGATGATAGTACCGTGCAGAGCACACGTCCGGGCCATGGAGGTGCAGCACTGGATGCCTTGCTACAAGCCGTTGGGAAGGATGCATCAGTTGCTACCACAGACAATGATAATGACACCAGAGCTCAGGGCTCGAATCTTGGCCATGAAGTATTTACTTCTAGAAAGCGCGACGCTATGGCAGCAGCCAAGGCTGCACCAACAAGACGAGACGCTTTGGGTGAGAGCAGCATTGCAGAGAGCTCACTTCCTGGTCTTGGGGGAGCAGCGCTTGGAGCTTTACTTTCACAAGCCACCCAAAAGACTTCATCAGTAGCTGCCAGGGGCAACAAGCAGGCCAAAACGATGACTGCCTCACCATTAGCCGCGGAGGAGGACAGCATGGCACAGAGCTCAGATCCTAGTCATGGGGGAGCAGCCTTGGGAGCCTTGCTATCGCAAGCTGCTGGAAGGGCTGCATCAAGAGCTCCCGCAAGCAATGACAGCAGAGTTCGACGCTCAAATCATGGTCGTCAACATGGTACAAAAGATATACCAATCCCAGCCCGACAACCAACCGGAGATGACGGCAGCATAGCACAGAGTTCGCTTCCTGGACATGGTGGAGCAGCTCTGGGTGATTTGCTTTCACGGGCCCTCGGTAAAGCATCTACCAGGGCAAGAATTAGTGTTGGTGTTGGTAGGTGCTCACATTCAAGACAAGGCACCACAAGTATGAGAAACAACAAAGCCACAGAGCAAACAAACATGGACGATGACAGCATTGCACGAAGCTCATACGGAGGCCACGGAGGAGCAGCTTTGGGTGCATTGCTGTCACAGGCAAAGAGAACCCCCACGATGGCTAGTGGCGACGAAAGTCTGGCACTCAACTCCAATGCTGGCCGCGGCGGAATTGCATTGGGTGCACTAATGGAAGAGGCATCCAGACCAAATGGATCGACGATTGGCGCCAACAGCTCGTCCCAGAGGAGGACACGAGCAACTCGCCGCCCAATGGACTTCCTTGTAATGGGTGACGACGGCGTGGCTGAAGCTGACACCCACTTGGACGAAGGACTTCTTGAATCTGATGAGAGCCAGAGCGCCATCCAGATGGCAGAAACAGCGGCGAGAGATCAACAGCTTACTCGATCGCGACACACTGGCAGAAAGCAAGGCAGAAATCCTCGATCACAAGACACAACCAAGGTATTAACTCGACGGGGCAAGAAGAGGCGTAACGAGGACGAGAATAACCCAAGCGGAGGACAAGACGACGATTCTCAGTCAAGGAAGGACCGTGCGTGGGCCGACAAACGAGCCCGAAGAAGCCGCTTGGGACCTACGACCTCGGAAGAAAGGCAAAACGTCGGTGACGGGGATCAGTCGCTAGCAAGCACAGCTGAGTACCAAGGGATGACTGCGATTGAGATGTTACTCTCAAAGGTCGAGAAGAAAGAGTGAACCTCGTTAATTAAAAGCTGTAGAGCTTAGATCTTTGCTTTTGGATCTTGGTTGTCTGTAGAGCAATGCACGGTACTGGTACTCTGAACACTAGCATGTCTTCAGAAACGGTCATACCGTCAATCAAGCTTTGTCAGTTTTGTTTTGTCAACAAGGCAACACAAACCACGGAAACAATACTGACGCTACTCCTGTAGAAAGTTCCAAGCAAGGGCAACCCAGCAACCAAAGATCTGCTGTACTATGGCGTATCTGTTGGCGCCCCAAGAAAGCGGAGTACGGAATGATCTAGAAATCTGTATGTTATTCGCGTATTTGGTTTTATTGACTCGTATGGACTGGTGTCAATAGAGACATCCTCTCGACGTGTACAGACCGCGGCTCGATCCGATTCGATTTCCGTGAATTTCCTAGCAGATAGTTTGCTTCTCTCATTACCCGTCCCGGACGAACTCCGAAACCCCCAAGAAAAACCCCTCTCAAAAGAATGACAGGCAAAGCAGCCACGAAGACATCGTTGTCTGTTGTCTGAACCTGATGCAACGGCTCTGGGCTGTGCTTCCGACGTGGCTTATTTGCTTATGTTGGTGGTCCTTCGAAAAGGCGCTGAATGATGTCTGCCTTTTTTACTTCCACAAACCATGGCGTGCAATCGGCTACACCCAACGCCACAATGAGAGTTTCTGGATCGTTCAACTTCTCTGTCATTCCTGAAACAAAATGAATTGCAGGGCACTTAATGTGCTTGAGACTGCCCATGTTAAAATGATTCCATGGCGCCGAATGGGGTGCCAACGGATTGAACGCATCGCCGGTGGCATTGCCAGCTTTGGGTGAAGGCCAGCAAAACCCACCCGACATGGCGACTGTCTTAAACGGTGGCGTTTGCTCAAACGCATACCAACGGGACAGGTACTGGTTTGGTTGGAGACCTCGTTTCTCAAGCTTCTTACGGCCGTGGGGAGTTTTGACATGCGAAATGCCCAACCACAATGTCTGGTTTGTTTTTCTCGGATTGACGATTCTAGAGCAACAAGCCCCTCCACGATCCTGTGTGAAGCCCGATTCAAAGAAACTCATTTCTCTTGCCAATATCAATTCATCCACTGTGTAGTAGCTTGGTTGGAGCGCTGTAATGGTGTCGTTGAAATCATCCGCCCGCGTGGGGGCTGGGGCCGACGAGTTGAGGACGTGGTGGACCGGCCGCACAATATGAGGCCCCAAAGGAAACGTTTCCACCATGGTATCGCCCGAAGCCGACACAAAATAGTTGAGATTCTTGAAATGCATATTGTCGAGTTCCTCTGTGGCGCACTGCGTAATGTCGGCTCCAATCCAAGCACGAAGTGGACTAGGAAAGACGTTGATGGCTTGCCAAGCGTCAACCTTAGTTTGCGTTCTGTCAAACGCCAATGAAAAGCTGTTCGATTCCCCGCTGGATTCTTTCACCCACAAAGGAGTCAACTTGCAGTAAGACGAAATATACAGCTGCCCATGTAAGACAAAGAGGCGAAAGTCTTCTCGTTTGCGAAATCGACGGGGCAAGTCGATGACGATTTCGGCAACGACAGACAAGTCCTCCTTCATCAGAGCCAGTCCTAGATAATCTTTCTTCTCTGGACGACGCTCAGGGTTTTCCCACTCGCCTCCGATCATTTGCAGCGTGGTACCAACGTTGAAACAGCCCTGTTGAGTCGCCACCCGAAACGAAGATATGTAGGCAATCTTCCCGTTGTCTTTCTCGAGCTTGGGAAAGGTCATGGAACTTGGCAAGGGAACTATTGTAGGATTGTACTCGAACAAGTACTGCTTGGGTTTGTTGTGCGAGACAGCGTTTAGCTTGAGAAAATACTTGGTCAATTTGGTGTGAGAGTCGGCTAACACAGTCCTCGGAATGCGGTTTTCGTCGGGAATAGAGGATAGGTAGTACGTCTTCGGATTCTCATAAGGAACTGCAGCGTGGTCGTAGCGCCAATAGCGTCGATCCGCAGGTTTGCACTGGAGACAGGGTAAACAATCGGCGCCGTAGACTGGATTCTGAACCAGAAGGCGAGCCGCCTCTAGGATAGTGAGGTTTTGTTCTTTGGCGTCCTTGTAGATTTTGATTCCACACCGTTCCCTATGGATTCCTCGTTCCAAGTGGTCCATCAGAATGCTGCGACAGCCACCACAGAGAGAGTCCACCGCGAACGAGTCACTTTCATGTTCAAGGATGTGGTCCTTGTTGACATTCTTTCGACTCCAACATTGAGTTGATATTCCAAATGCATCTGCCATGATTTTCCCTGCATCCGGACTGTCAATTTTGACTTCCACAAGATGATGCGATGGATTGGATCTAGCAAATTCCCTCACTCGTTGGGCCTGTAAGTGAGAAAATGCAATCATGTCAGAATCCTTGGCCCCAACCCCTGCTGGAAACTCAGGGTAGATGTGTTTGTCAATGAACCTCTGTCTCAAACTTCCCCATGCATCCAGCGAGTGAATCCAATCTTTCTCATCTCGGGTGTTCATTATCCATGTAGCATTGGGAAAATGATCATGAATTTCCTGGAGGTATGCCCATTGAGGCAGAGTAATGCCTCCTTTCAATTCCTGGGCATCAAGTTCTGCATAGACATCAAAGTCATCAATCTCATAGAAAACTGGCTTGAGGTACTTCTCCAGATTTCTTCTCATTTTCTTGCCACAAGACATGCCAATCTTTTCCGGATCCTTGCCTGGTTTGCAATCATAGTGACTTATCCTGCTGAAATTAGCATCAAGGCCGCACTCAAAAAACGTGTAGATGGAGGTAGTCCCTGCCTTTGGTAGGCCCATCACCAGTATTGGAGTTGGCAACTTCAGTTCACCGGGTTTGACTCCAATGCCACCTTGACTACTGTTGAGTTTTTGTGATTGTTTGGCGATGGGCACAGTAGGTTTCACGCTGTTGACTTCTTTCCTGTCTACAACAGAATTGGAATCGCGAGATGCTCTCTTGTTGGGTTTGGGTGACTGTCTGATGATGGGCACAGTGGGTTTCACGTTACCGATTTCTTTCCTGTCCACAACAGAATTGGAGTCGTGGGGTACATTGAGTGATTCTTTCTTCTTGAGTTTTGGTGATTGTCTGATGATGGGCACAGTAGGTTTCACGCTGCTGACGACTTTCCCGTCCACAACAGAATCGGCATCGTGAGGGACATTGGGCGATGCTCTCTTCTTCCGAATCCAGCAATCCTTTGATACGCCAAATGCGTCTTCCATGCTTTGCCCTGCATGGGGGTCATCAATTTTTACTTCTACCAGGTGAATCGATGGATTGGACTCGGCAAACTCCTTGACCCGCTCTTCATGCATTCGCGCAAAGATATTCATATCAATATCTTTTGTACCCACCCCCTTCGAAAACTCTGGGTAGATATGATGGTCAATAAGACGCTGTCTCAAATCTCCCCACTTGTCCAATGCATGGACCCATTCCCTTTTTTCCCGGGTGTTCAGTATCCACGTTGCACTCGGATACTGGTCGCGGATTTCTTGAAGATACGCCCATTGAGGAAGAGTAATGCCACCTTTCTTTTCATGGGCATCCAGTTGGGCATAAACATCAAAGGTATCCATCCCTGCGAATGCTGGTTCATGTTCCTTTTCCAGGTTTCGTCTCATGTGTTTGCCACAGGACATCCCAATCTTGTCGGGGTCCTTGCCTGGCTTGCAATCGTATTGGCTCAGTCTAGCGGTACTATCCAGTCCACACTTGAAATATTCATAAATAGTAGAACCACCCATCTTGGGGAGACCCAACACGATGATTGGCGTCGGCAACTTCAGTTCACCGGGTTTGACTCCAATGCCACCTTGACTACTGTTGAGTTTTTGTGATTGTTTGGCGATGGGCACAGTAGGTTTCACGCTGTTGACTTCTTTCCTGTCTACAACAGAATTGGAATCGCGAGATGCTCTCTTGTTGGGTTTGGGTGACTGTCTGATGATGGGCACAGTGGGTTTCACGTTACCGATTTCTTTCCTGTCCACAACAGAATTGGAGTCGTGAGGTACATTGAGTGATTCTTTCTTCTTGAGTTTTGGTGATTGTCTGATGATGGGCACAGTAGGTTTCACGCTGCTGACGACTTTCCCGTACACAACAGAATCGGCATCGTGAGGGACATTGGGTGATGCTCTCTTCTTCCGAATCCAGCAATCCTTTGATATGCCAAATGTGGCTTCCATGCTTTGCCCTGCATTGGGATCATCAATTTTTACTTCTACCAGGTGAAGCGATGGATTGGACTGGGCAAACTCCTTGACCCGCTCTTCATGCATTCGTGCAAAGATTATCATATCAATATCTTTTGCACCCACCCCCTTTGAAAACTCTGGGTAGATATGATGGTCAATGAGACGTTGTCGCAAATCTCCCCACTTGTCCAATGCATGGACCCATTCCCTTTTTTCCCGGGTGTTCAGTATCCACGTTGCACTGGGATACTGGTCGCGGATTTCTTGAAGATACGCCCATTGAGGAAGAGTAATGCCACCTTTCTTTTCATGAGCGTCCAATTGGGCATAAACGTCAAAGGTATCCATCCCTGTGAAGGCTGGTTCGTGTTCCTTTTCCAGGTTTCGCCTCATGTGTTTGCCACAGGACATCCCAATCTTGTCGGGGTCCTTGCCTGGCTTGCAATCGTATTGGCTCAGTCTAGCGGTACTATCCAGTCCACACTTGAAATATTCATAAATGGTAGAACCCCCCATCTTGGGGAGACCCATCACGATGATTGGCGTTGGCAGCTTCAGTTCATTTGGTTTCACATCCACTCTTGGTGTTACAATCTTGGCTTTTTCCTTTACGCTATCATGATTTCGACTGGTCTGAATTTGTTCTTGGCGACGACGTTGGCTCTTCTTTTGCTGGCCACCATGTTGGATTCCTCTTCGGTGATTCAGCAGGAAGCTCTTGTCAACGGGTACACTGGATTTCCCGCCGGCGGGCAGGTGGTCCTGAGATTTGTGAAGCACGCCAAACTGAACCAGGGCCGACACAACCGAAGCAACGGCAAAAATTCCGGAAATAGATCTTATTTTCCATGGAGATTGTGCTCGGGGGGACTGTGGCTTGTCATGGTGGATATCTCGTTGCTTTGTTGTCATCTTTGTGTGGCAATAATAAAAACTGTGGGTTGCCTTTTCCTTTGCTTCGGCCTTGCCAAAAACAATCAAAACAGCGACCGGGAAGAAATACGGTAACCCAATAACCAGCTCCTTTTGGTGATCTATCTTGACCTTCCGGATGTGAGGTCATGTGTCTCTTTGGGGTCATCCTTCGATTCGATTCGTAAAATTCGATTCGATTCGATTCGACAAACAGCACTCCGACGCAAAAGCCAAAGCTTTTCATGCATACTAGCTACTACCGGTACGGTAGAGCTACTAGTAGTAAACGTACGTACTACTAGTAGGCGCTGGTCTGAAAGGGCCGGAAATCGGTATTTACAAGTAATTCTGCTTTATATTTGGGTTTCAATTTTATATATTTGGGTTTCGATTTTATATTTAGGCTTCGATTTGATATATAGGTTTCGGATTGATTTTAATAGTTATTTACATAGTAATTTGGATTCGGTTTTATATTTATATTTTGGTTTCGGTTTTATATTTAGGTTTCGATTTTATATTTTGTATTGGAATTGATCAATTTAATTGGATTCTTAAAATCCTGATTTCGGGACCTTTGTCTCACACGCGCCAGGCGTGACGGGTTCACGGGTCCATCATAGAAAGCCTTCTGATAACGTTACAGTACGGGTTTACTAGCTAGGGATTAGAGAGAGCTAAGATGAGGATGGGGACAGAAAACATGTAATGCATTGTGTTTTACGGCCTCGCTCCACCTCACAATCTTGGTCTCACAAATCCCTCGATCTGCTTGTGCGATGGATGTGAGGCAATGCAATGCCACAAGAGATCATGATCCAGATGCAAGAAGCAAAAACGCAGCAAGAATCAGAAGAAGACGATCAATCTCCCAAATTCGTTTTCCCCTTTCCTGAAATCTACACGTATCCAACCATGTTTCCGTACCACGCTTCGATAGGGGGTATGGACATGAACCCCAGCAAATCTTCTGATTCCGAGACTACCAATGCTTCGACTGAGGACCAGAAGAAAGGATCAACACTATCAAGTTTCTTGAAAAGCAAGAACAAAATGAACAAAGGCTGCGAGTCCGCTTCCACGGTATCAACCACAATTGCGGAACTAGCTCGAGCAGACGGATATTGGCTCGGGCTTGAAATCTACTTGAAGCAAACAACAGCAACGACTTTAGACGATGACGACGTGTCAACGATTACTCTTGAATGTTATTATGCTGGCAATCGCTAGCCACATATTTGTACGCAACCAGTCGGCGGGACTACGAGTTTCCAAGGAGAGCTCGAGCGCTTCATTGCTTGAATGGTGCGTCGAAGGCAGAGGAGATGCAGAGGAACAGGTAACATATGCATGAGCCACGAAACAGATCCAAAAGTAGTGCTTTGTTTCAGTAGTGTCATGTACCGTAGTACTTCCCCACTAATTGATCAAAGTAACGAAGACCTCAGACCAAGGCACTTGACGGGAAAACTGTTAGTCGTTGGCGTTGCCCTCTTTCCAGCTAGTGTCTCGTTGTCGGGAACGGCCAGGAGAACGGAGCACTGCTTTCACTACCGGTATTGCCATAGAACAAGCGAGCCGTTGTCGTCAACCCACCATGCAGCCTCAGAAGAGACAGAGCTGCAATACAGAGGGTAGGAGTCAAGTGCCCGTGGGAAACCACGTAGCGGTTGGACAGTACTGTACGTAGACACAAGTGGGCCGAAAGCTCAAAATGATCAAAACGTATCCGTGACATACCTTCAGAATAAAGGTGGGGTTGCTGTCGTCAAAGCGATGATCCTAGCTTCATGTGGATGCAGGAGTTCTTTGTGTAGGAATTTCCCCTCACGACGATAGGCAGGCGCGACGTTCCTTCTGCACTTGACATTTTTGTTGTGGTTGAAAAGGTAGCAGCCAGTTGCGGTAACGGTGACTTGACGAAGAAAGTAATGCCTCTAGTGGACCGGGCAATTTCTCAATATGCGCTTAACATCCCAACCCCGCAAAAACTACAGCGACCCAATGAGGCTCGTCTAGACTTTGCGCCACCTCTGTAACAAGTTCGGGGCATTGCTCCGCCATTGGTCGCTTGTTGTCGCTCTTGGCTGCTGCTTCGACCACTTTTTCTAGCTTTTGTTGGAATCTTGCTACATCCTTGGCGAAGTTGGGAGCAAACTCCCACTCTTGTTGCATCTCAATCATGTATCCTAGCGCGCTCCGTGGGTGCCTCCAGCCACAGCGAAACAATCCGGCAGGCGTCTTTGTTTGAGCTGTGTATAATGTGGCAATCCAGGAACCTACCATCCGGATGAAGTTAGCCCAGTGATGCCCTGCATCTTCGATGGCAAGATTTGCCGGAAATGCTTGGTGGAGCACAAGTCGATATGCCGTCAACAAGGGATGAACCAAATAGAACGATTGTTTTTCTGGCAAGTAGTATGAGTCTTGCCCTTTGGACAGTCGTTCGAGTTGATTGGCAAGGAATTGCAGGTCTGTGCCATTTGTGCATTGGATTCCCAGGTCATGGAACGCCTCTAACGGGTTCATTCCTGCTTCCAGCTTTTGACAGAATTGACCGTGAATGATCTGAATCCTTTCCTTGGTGTATAGAGTATCTTCTACATTTTCCGATGAAAACATGTTATTTGGTTTGCCGGTGCCTTGCCAAAATCGCAACTTGACGGTTGGATATATGGACAATTCGCACTGCAAACATTCAAAGAAACACCAACCTCGACGGAAGTAGTCCCGGCCAGGCATGACCCCCAACACCGGAACCGTCCGGCATATATCATCAATCTCCTCGAGACACCTGTGCCGTACTCGTTGTGAATGAGAATCTGCTCCTTGTGGAATCGAATAGTAGTCATACCAGACTTTGACCTGCTTTTGTTGGTGCGAAAAGAAATGCAGAGCAAAGGAAAACTCCAAACTGCTGACGAATGGAACATACATATTCTCAAGGGGGTTTGTTGAATGATTTACCCACAGTTGCTCCAGAGGTTGTGATGTAGGATTGACAAGGAAATCGAGCATGCCTTGCGTTCGATCCAGGAGTGTTTTGATTTGCGTCCTTTCGTTGCCTCTTGGATCTGGATGTTCCGGAGTGAGCCATCGATGGGAGAGAAAGAGGAAAGTCTCGCCAGGCTTGGTGTCGGATAGTGATTCAAAGAGCACCCCCTTCTCAAACTCATGGATGTCCATGGCCCTGCTGGCAAACTGTTTGTTGCGAGTTACATGTATGATGCCGTCCGAGGACAATTTTGCAAGTTTTTGGTAGTAGCTGCCCAAGATGATCCAGAAGGAATAGTAGAACCAGTCCGGGAGGGACATGTATGCACCGTCATCGTATAGAACCAAACATTCCAACGCAGTTTCGGTCACCTCGCAAGCAAAACTGACAGGTTCTCCCCGGAACACAAATCCATGTCTGAAAGCTGCAAAGCACAAATACTTCCAGCGATCCATTGTAGCTGCGACTTGTTCGTCCTCTGGTTCACCGTGTAAGTAAGTTAAATACGACTGCAACAAGTCGCCTTCGTGGTCCTCTTGTGATTCAAAGTGATATGTCATGGTTTGCGCCTCTGTCCAAAATGGAGTATCCTGTTCCGTCGAAGAATCATCTTCGACCTTGAAGCGCCACAAGTCTTGAAAAGCCCTTATGCACTCCTCTACCACCGGTACCTCTGCCATATTCTGCACACTGCTAAGCTACCGTACCGGTACTAGCTAGTACTGTAGATAGATAGTCAGGGAAGAAGAGGAAAGCAAAACTTTGCGTTGTGCCACCTGTGTTCTCAACGTTGTCCCGAGGACTGGGTTGGGGATCAGATGGCTAAAAAGAGAAAAATGAGTTCCCTACTCCAATCCCCCCCTTTCGACTTTTGGGGGAAAAGTAAAATATCCTCGCGCAATCGCGCACAGCACCCCTGATAGCCGCCAAACGTCCAAACCTCGACCTGACGTCCTCATTCAAGTACTGTATTTGTTTTCCTTCAACCCATCAACCAATCCAACCAAAGGACTAGCTTGACCATGACGACCGAAGGAGACCAGCAGAAAGCTGCAGCAGCAGCGGAAAGCAAGAAGGAAAAGAAAAAACCCGAAGGATTGGTGATTCCTCCCAAAAAGCCCAAGCTGTCCAAGGCCGAACGTCGTGCGCTGCAGGAACAACAGAGAGCTGCCAAGGCCGCCGCCAAACAGCAACCAGAACCACCAAAAGGAGCTGCTGACCCGCAGAATGAACCAGGAAAGCAAAATGCCACCAAGAATGATGCTGGCAGTGCTGGAAAGGACGACGCTGCTAGAGATGCGGTTCAAGACAAGTCGGATCAAAAGACCGTGTCACTCTTTTCCCATTTGCCGCCGTATCGAGGTGAGAGTGAACGAGGCAGAGTTTTGTTGTTTGCAAATTGCTGTGGATCTATGTAGATTTCATGCCACGCTATTCCCATGTTGACCCACCCTTCTCACCGATTTTCTCATTACTTGGTTCGAATATATATTTTTGGCTGTTTGTTCATATTTAGACCCCAAGAGTGTGGTCGAAACGGGCCCCCATTTGTGGCCCAAAGGCGTCTCATTGCCATCCACCACCTTTCCCTTGCACCCTGCCGTGATTGAATTGGGCTACCAATATGCCAAGGGAGAAATTCGTGGTGGAAATGCCCGTTGTCGCGCCATGCTGGCAGCCTTTCATCAAGTCATTGGAGATTTTGAACCTCCCACTAACAATGGCGGATTGACCGACATGCGCCACCAAATTGATCAGTGGATCCTCAAACCATCCTTTCAGTATTGGACGGCATCGTGTCGACCTCACTCGGTCACCATGGGCAATGCCTTTACATTTCTCAAAACGGCCGTGGCCAGTTTGGAACGAGACATGACGCGCGATGACATGGTGGAAATGATTCAGGAAACCATTGATGCCTACATTCGGGAACGAATCGATTTGGCCAAACAAGCCATTGCGCAACAGCCAGCCTTGCAATTGTCTACAACTAGCACCACCACAACAAACAACAACAATCCACAAGTCTTTTTGACCTACGGCAAGTCCGAAGCCATTGCCGCCATTTTTCGAAACATGGCGGCGTCCGACCAACATTCGTCGTCGTCGTTTCGAGTCATTATTGTGGATTCACGTCCTCTGTTGGAAGGAAAAGACCTCCTTCTGGAGTTGCGCGCTTCCGGGATTGAATGCTCCTATGTGTTGCTCAATGCATTGACATATGTCATGCGAGATGTCACCAAGGTCTATTTGGGAGCTTCCGCGTTGATGAGCGATGGAGGAGTCTTGGGCCGGGTGGGAACGGCATGTGTCGCCCTCAGTGCTCATATGCATCACATTCCCGTTCTGGTGTGTTGTGAATCCTACAAGATTTCCAATCGAGTCCAATTGGAAAGTATCACGGGGAATGAACTGGGTGATCCCTCCCAGGTGGCCATGACAACCAATGCTTCTTCTTCTGATGATGACGACAACAACAACAATAACGGTGCTTTGAAGGACTGGTTGGAAACGGACAATCTACGCCTGCTCAACTTATTGTATGATTTGACACCCTCCGAGTTTGTGAGTGGAATTGTCACCGAGCTCGGGATCATACCTCCCACAAGTGTGGCTGTCCTCCTGCGAGAAATGAATCCCCAAAACTAATTATTGAGCTTTGATGGGGTTTGGCTATTTTAAAATTGCAAACAAGTTCGTGCTTTGTTTTGGCAGTGTTTTGGCAGTATACATGGACGGTGTCACGGGGTACCGTACGGTAGCATACTACTACTAGATAGATGATGACATGGTAACAATGGAAATGTGATCGAACAGCTACCAGATAGCTAGTGTTTCTTGAGTGGCTCAGCGATGTTCGCGTGTTCGTACATACATGACATGTAGATCAGTAGCGGCTAACTAGCCGTACCAGGTACCGGTACCAGTGCGTCTGTGCGGATGGAGTTAGGGGTATTACCCGTTACTCAGCAGAGCTGTCAAACACCATCTTGAGCGGCAACGCAGGAGGGGGGTTCGGTTTCCACCAAAGCCAGAAAGAAGAGTGACATGATACACCTCTTTTCCTTATTATTCCTCTTCATAGCCAGCCAGCCGTAGCCCACCACAACTATCTAGATCTCATTGTTGCTCATGTCTTCTGATAGTAATGCTACCAGTATTGCTGCTGCTGCTGCTATTGGTGGCAGCAGCAGTGCTAACAACAATAAGAAACAGAAAATGTCTCCTCCGAATGAATCTCTTCTTTGGGCTGATGATGATATTTCGATCCAAGGCATTCTCCCTTTTGTTGGTGTAGGACAGTACGCTTTTGTAGGAGCTGTCAACAAGAAGATGAATCACTACTGCAAAATTGAGCCCAAGAAAAACCCAAGAAAGGTAAACGATAACCCTGGATAGGTTTCTCCTCTTCGTTCTGCAGAAATCACAGACACTTTTGCAGTGAAACATTCTGTAACCAGCCACGTGCAGAACACTGACTCAGGGACAATTCCAGCAATAAAATGCCTCACCGTGATCATGTTTGCACTGTCATTGCCAAAGTTGGAAATATTATGATCATGCAATGGGCACTACAAAACAGATTCACATGGAATGCATATACATGCTTAGGCGCTGCTCGAAAGGGACATTTGGAAATGCTCAAATGGTTAAGAGAGAATGGTTGTCCATGGGACTTATTTACATGTGCCCATGCTGCTAGAAATGGACATTTGGAAGTTTTGAAGTGGGCCCGTGCAAATGGTTGTCCATGGAGTGAAAGGACATGCTGGTTTGCTGCTCGAAGTGGACATTTGGAAATTCTATAAAAAAGGAAGTGATCCAATGGCTACATGACAATGGGTGCCCTGGGTCTCGCGATGAAGGACAGTAGCATATCAACATCATTTATGCGATGGTCTCTAATTGAATGATTTAGTCAAAAGTAGAGAGTGCCTGTCCATGTTTTGCCTCAGCCCATCGCCAACCATCACAGGCGATTGCAAGCTCAAGAGTCAAATTTAATGAATCACTCACTCCTTGCTGAAATCATAGCCCGGCAGCTATCAGTCAAGGGCCACAGAGGGCCTTTTCCGGTTCCAATCTACGTTCCCTGAGTGGAGCATCGCATCGGTAGCACATCTCCGTTCCCCAGGCAGCAGCTACTCGCTTGTACTGGTATGCAAACAAGGAGTCAACAAATCAAAAGGATTGGCACAACGCAGAATGGCAAGGCGATGCATCTTGGTTCAAAGGCAAAGTTCAAAAGCAAAAGTTCAAACGCGGTTCCCGGCTGTATTCTTTCCTGCCAGAGGCACCATCATGTATAATAAAGTTTTCTTCTTACTGCAGACAGGCAGCATAATCGTCAAAATAAGTATCTTGCAGGGCCACAAACAGGTGATCCATTTTCCCGTCGGCCGTAAACTTCATAAAGAAGGATTCCGTGGCAAAAATGGGACAGGGCTTGGCTCCTCCTCCAATCATTTGGAATCCTTGCCCCGTCAATGTCACGGTACTCCCATCGGTCACCTCGGCGAGCGTGAGAAAGATTTCCGGTTCAGTCACAAAATCGTGACGGCACATTTCCAAATAGGCCGTGCGATCTAGCAGAGGGGTGGGCTGCGAATGCGACTCTTGCATGGTAAAGGAATCGGACAAGTACTCGCCGGCTTCGTCGCAGTATCCCGTGCAATACAAGTCTATGAACTTCTTGGCTCTTTCCAGATTGGACGTTGGTGGTTCTTCTGCCTTTTTCTCTCGCTTGGCCGTTTTCGAAAGGAGACGATACTTGGGACTGCCCGGTTCGTCGTCGTCCAGTGAGAACCCCCGGTTCAGACATTCTTGAGTATAGCGATTGTAAGAATCCAAATTATGGATTAGTTCTCGCAACACCTGAATGCGACCATGGGAGTCCAAACTGACCACAAATGACGAATAGTAGGGTGCCAAGCAGGGTACCGTATCCTTGATATAGTAGTCACTCCCCGTGGCTCGAATAGTTCCAAAAGAAGACCCTAGATTGGAATGATGGTTCTCTTCAAAGAGAATGTCAAAATGACCTTGGTACGGAAGGCAGAGAGCATCGACAAACTCGTCCACATCCAAGACAATCTCTTTGTCGTCGTCATCTTCCGCTTGGTCCTCTCCAAAGGCCGTCACTCGAAACTCAAAGTGTCGACGATCCACTAACGAGGCCAGATCGTCACAACGCCCTAGTTTCCAATCCTCCAAAAAGGTTTGAATCTGATCTGTGGGAAGCTTCTTTTGGTGTTTCTTGGAAGAGGACAGAAGCGCCGCTGCGGCAGCGGTGATGTGTGGCGGTTGTACGGAAGAGGAGTGTTGGAACGCAACAACCAGAACCATGAGACACGCTACCGATGCAAAAATGGTCCTTCTACCTATCACATTCGCCTGAACCACTTCATTGCTTCTGCTCATCATGAGCGGATCGCTTTCGGATACAAACGACATGATGATGATGATGATAGAAGCAAACAACCCGAGGTGATCTTTCTAAAAGATATTGTTGTTTTGGTTTGTGAATGGTCCGAGCTGAGTGGAAAATGAGAGGGAGTTGCTTCAAACTTGGATCTTCCAAAAACGAGAACCCTTGCTCGAAAGATCGCATTCTCGAAATAGAGCCCAGAGTGACATTGTTAACGTCAAACCAAACGTCGCTTTGGTATTTAGCCAATGCCGTTTAATTACAGTCCGTACGGCAGGGCATCCTCGTCACAAATTCGAACGTTGCGCGGTACCACTTTTTCAATTTTACTGATGCCAACACTCAGCACCATTCCCAAGACACAGCCCCAAGTGGCTGCTCTTCCTTCAAAGGTACCATTAGGGAGAAGTATTGGAGAACCGGTTAAGTTACAGCCACAAGTAAGTGTGCAATCCTGGGAAACGATGACGGATTCCACATGTCGATCAAGACATGCGATTTGTTTTCTTGGAGTATTACTTGTGATGCCAATAATATCGTTCGGCATCAATGATTGCTCCTTCACACCGACAAACTCTGGCCTGGAACTTCCACAAGATGTTCTGGACTATGCCATGACCAGTGCTGACTTGTCGGAACTCAGCTATAAATTCTTGGTCTCCCGCGAAATTCAATCGGGCAATCTCTTTGGATTTGATCGTATGCAAGCCTTTGTCGATTTGGATGATATGGCCATTTTGGCCGAATACGACAATATCTGTTATGTCACCTTTCGAGGGACCGTTGGAGCCAATGTGTTTGATGTCTTTCAACTCTTTGATGCCGGCGCCAAAATGGTCAATGGCTGCAAGGTCCGATCGGGATTCTACAATGGCTATCATGCAAGGTATATCAATGAACTAAAGGCTGGCATAGCCGATTGCATGACAAGATGTTCGGAATTGATCCTGACGGGACAATCTCAAGGAGGCAGCAACGCCCTTGTGGCCTTTATGGACTTGCAAGAATACAATCCCATCGCAATTACCTTTGGCGCTCTCCGGACGGTCCGCGAAAACTGCACCCACGTCGATTCCACCCGTCATTACCGATTTGTCAATGTCGGGCAAGGCATTTACGATTACTACGCCATGATGTTTGACCGCACCGCCCTCCATTTTGGACATTCCATTTTGCTCGATGCCACTGCCAATGCTGCCGCTTCCTATTTAGGCTTGGACGACAATCGCATGTTGCAACCGCAATCCCGAGACCCACACAGCGTGACCAACTACTGGAGTGCCCTCAAGAGCTTGGTCGATGCGGCGATGTGCAACCCCCTCGCCATTCAAATCTCGGGGTGGGAAGATGGACATTGGTGTCATGAAGATGATGAGTGTGACAGTGGCAGCTGCAACGAGCAAATGTGCATTGGAGCGCTGCAAGTGGGAGAGTTTTGTCGACGAGATTACGAATGTGCCTCGCGACGGTGTGAGCACAGTCTCTTTAAAGCCAATGTTTGTGCTTGATGAGGAGCGATGGTTTGACTTTCAAGCCTAAAGAATGGAGGACAACAGTGGCAAACAGCTTTGACTTCTTCGAACCATGGATCACATCTTTGATGATTCACTGGATGCAAAAACTCTTGGAAGAAAATGCTTGGTTCTTACCTCGCTATGATTGAATGGTGGTGTGGAAGGCTTCCAGTCGCCCAAGCCGCCACTGCCAATTGCAAGGGCTACAGGTTGGACTTGAAGCAGCCGAGGTTGCCGTGCACGTGATGGTTCAGAAAGTAACTTGCTTGATAGATACCAGTCAAATCGTTCAATGTATCCATCGGGGTCCGGCTCTTTAAAATTTCCTATGAAAGATAGGATGATAGAAAGAGTGTAGATTCGCAACTGTTCTCCTCTAGCTGGCCAGACACTCCGTACCCACCCCTATAGTTAGATGCGGCAGATCCGAGGAGCCAGATGTTCAGATCCCCTTTAATCAATCATGCATCCTCATGGTCTCATGGTTGCCCGCCCCTTGTCCACCTTGCTATCGATCGATAATCCTTGGGATGTTGCTGCGTGTACTTTACAACATCTTTTGGTCCATCCTGGGGACTGGGGATTTTGCTAGCAAGAACGCTAGAACAGGCATCGGTCGATTGTTTTAGTCCGCAAGTGCATTTATTTATTTGGATCCACGAGCCTGTATAAGGAATTATGGTCGGCTAAAGGTGCGGCTGGCAACTGCCTGTGATTTCGATTTTTCGGATGTTCCCCGCTCTAATGATGCGCAGCTTCCGAGGAGTGATCTCTTTTCTTCATCTGCGGTACCGGCTAGCTAGCTAGCTAGTGTGATGGAGCGGTGCCACCATCCTTGTTCTATAGTTGTTACTGGAAGCCTGGAAGCAAAAACCAAACCAAGCAACCCAGGCATCCAGCTGCCATTTCAGCTGCGGAGTTTTTGCATCCTAATAGTCATCGTCATGAATGGCTACGCACCCTGGCTACTATCTAGCACCCAACTGGGATCAGGGGGCACTTGCTTGGACGATCTACATGCTCACACATATATGATCCATGGCTACTGGTACTACAGATTGGAAACCGGAGTTGTACCCTAGGCAACTCCACCGCCGAAAAGATTGGTCGTTCGGCGACTTTTAGCCTTGACTGGCAATAGCGAAAGAATGGATCATGGTTGCCACCGGGATTGGCACCAGATCCAACCAGAGAAGGTACCACCAGTACATGTACCGGTAGCAAGCAAGCAAGCAAGCAAACAATCAGTAAAATGTGTCGTCCAGGTCATTCAGTCAAAGCAACTCCGAGGCTGGGGGCAAGCCAGGTACCGGTCCGTTTGTTGGCTTTGTTGGCTACAGTACCTGGGATGCAAAGCTACTAGCTACAGCGTGTACTAGCTAGCTAGACAGGGGACTGGTTGCCACACTTTGATTCTTGAAGCTACACTTGCAACACTGGCTGGAGATCTCAACAACTAACTGTGATCCGCTCAAACCGTTCAACACAGGGAATTATTAGAACATGTCGATCACACCGGAAGATGGCAGCTACAGTAGCAGCTAGCAATTTCAATTGAGTCACAGTCTTCAACCGCCACGTGTGAAGAAAATGGATGCAGTCCCAAGAGTTGCGGTCGCAACCAACGCAACCCTCGCTTTCTTGCCGTTTGCTCGCATCGGTCGTCAAGGTTGTTGACAAAGAAAGTCATGTGTGAATGGCACGAGGCCGTTAAGTCCTCCGAAGCTCATTCGTGCACGATTCTGACTGTTTCACTGGGTTCGATTCATTCGACTCAGACTTGATTCGTTGCGCTTCCGAGCTTTTTGGTCTTTGGGTTTCGTTCCCCAACATCAATCCTCTCACAAATTTGCACCCAGCAACATCAAAAAGCAAATAATCAACACTCTCACGCAAACAACCATCAATCCCATCCACAACAAACCAAGCATCACGATGAACCAACAATTCTACAACAACGAAGAATCCAACAACACTGTGTGGCAACAATGCGCCTCCAGCTTCCGCCGCTCTCAAGGAGACTTGATCAGCACCGACACTGTGGATCCCGTCGTCGAGCAACACATGCAGCTTCCTCCCGTCTTGGCCACCTTTGACGAGGCCGAAACTCCCATTTCCATTCACTACTTTGCCACTGGCAGTAATGGGGACGAGTACTACGATTCGGATTCCGAGGTGGAATGTGTCGCATTGCCATCCTTGCCGTTGGTCCCTTTGAAGCGATACCGCCAATCGTGAGCGCCAAACAATGACAAATAATTCTCCTCCTCCTCCTCCATCTTCCTTCTGGCGTGGCGTACACCCCATTGAATGCATGACAAAACAAACAAAGAGACCAGCTGCTCCTTTGCCTCTCCTTTGACAATAGAGTTCTTCCCGACGAGCAGCAACAACCAAACTCCACCGATGCCGCGACCAATGCTGGCTATTCTGGCTGGCCGCACGGCATGTAAATTAGTTGGCTACAAAATGGAATCCATTGAAATACACTACTAACTAACTCTATAAAACACAATACCATACAAATAAAACATTGTCTCCTCCTTTAGCCTCATTTCTAGACTCATACCGTAGTAGCAGAGGTTGCCTTGTTGGTAAACGGCACCCTTGGCAACGGGTCCAATCGTATCGGCGCCAAAATTGGCGACAACGGGGCTTGGAGTAGCTCCATCCATGGATCCCACCATAACGTACAGTACTAATCAACCAAGCAGTGCGGGATGGGAGTTGGCGCTCCACACCAAACCCTGCCAAGAACCCATGGCGGACCTGGGAACCAGCTTGCGCTAGCTAGGAATAGCTACAGCAACACAAGCAAACAACAACACAAACAAAAGGCGCAGTGCATGTGGCGGCTCCGCCAAACGTGGGAGCCACGCAGTCTGGCTCCACCAAACGGACCAGACTTTGGTCCTTCTGTTGAGGTCAATAGGCCTACCATCGTCCAGGATAGGGACCCAAAAGAGTTTTCAACGAATCCCAGTTGGAAGAATAGATATTCTTAGAGGCAAATAGAACATCTCTGCTGCAACAGCAACAATATAACTACATGTAGCTAGGATTGCCGCCGCGGCTCCGGGGGTGATTGTCGCACCGTTCAGCTTACCACGCAGAGGATACCGCTTGCTACGGTACCGTAGTAGCTTGGAGATGGCTTCATGGTCGCCCTCTCCTAGAGGTTGGTTGGGGTGGAGCAAGGCACAGTCGGAACCGTTGGTCGGTCACACTTCGGAATGGAATGAATGGTTCGACTCGACTCATTCGACTCGATTACACGGGCTCCCGATCGCGAGGACTTCATTCCCACACCTTTCCCGATTAGCCAAGACGCCACGCCAAGACACCTCACACAGCAGGAACTCCCGCGCTACGATTCAAGGCGAAGCACTCCAAGAATGCTTGCTTGCTTGTTTGTTTGTTTGTTTGTTGCCTTGAGACATCTTGCTTCGCACCAGAACAGGTAGGTACAAGGCACCTTGATGGTAAGCAAGTACAGTATCTGTCAAGACAGCGACTACGAGCGAACAGGTGGCAAAGGGGCGGTCTCTGCGAGTTATTTTGTCGACCCTTTTTCGTGCCGCCGCCGCTAATGCGAGAACGATCATTTCTTGGAACCTTTCGCCCAAAGCTTCAACCCAGCCCACGCACACTAAAGTAATAGGTACCATCAACGACTGCATGAAGTCAAGTCAGTCACTGGCCTGTCTCCAATGTAAGCAGCCAGTCGCTCAGCCAGTGCAAGCAAGCTGCCTGGCGACGGGATGCATTTTTCTTCCATGAGCGAGCAGCCCATTTTCGTAGGAGGAACTATGCAGACAGCCTTGAGCTCAGGCCATACTTACGGGAAAACAATAGGTACTGTCAAAATGCTTGTTGCCTATAGGCCATACTACTATAGCTGGCCTACTACTATATCCAACCGAAAAAGTAGAGGAAGCCAATAGATGTCGGCCAACGATAATGCCGCGAGCGGTTGAAAGTGCAAGCAAGGCAGAACACAAAGGTGCAGAGGTGCGGAATTCGCCCTCGGGAACGTCAGTGGAGGTGCATGCAGCAGTTGCCCACACACCCAACCCAGGCCAGGCTACCGGTAGCTAGCACCAATTTTGATGTGCTCGTACGTAGACTATAATGGCAACCGGCTCTTTTGGACGAACATCCTTCAGGAACGGACAGATCTATTGCCATAGGACGAGACCAAGAGATCCATCAAAGTAGGTAATATTGATACGCAAAAAGGTGCTACTAATAATAAGCTAGCACTACAAGCTATGTTTCAAAAAGCTACAGTATCGTGGTGTAAGCAAAATCTGTCACCGGGAGGAGGTGACGCAAAGAATTCACATAATACAATAATATGCATCCAATGTAGACTACCAGAACAATCTCGTGGGCCAGCTCTGAGGAAATACAAGGGCCAGCCAATCTGTCTGTCATTTGACTCGTCGTGAGCAAGGTTGTTTGCTTTGTTGTGTTTTGTAGAAAGGAAAGGAATTGATAGTGCCACCGCTTTCCGGAAGCGTTGTGTGACGTCGTACTGCATGGCTCCCGTACTGTAACGTTATAAGCAGTGGAAATAACCAATCCCACGCTATAATAAAAGTTCGCGTTGTTGTTGTACCGTTGTAGTGGTAAAGTAGATAGGAAAGGGTATCATCACCCGGACCCCACCACAGTGGTTCTTCGCAATAGCACCAACCATCCCAGGGTGATTAGCGCCCACACAAAGGCTATTATGATGACGGTCATGAGGAAGAGTGCATCGTGAACATATTCCTGATACCAAGGCACTCTGTTGTTGTTATTAGCATTGCAGTTGTGATTTCCGCAGTGGCTGCAGTGTTCTGTTACCACCGGCAGTACATGCACCGGTAGTAGAGATTCTTCTGGTTCTTGCAGTGCTTCGTCCTCCGGTATGCTACCCAATAAACTCTGCTCCAAGTCTCGGCTGTTGAGCCTCTCTCGACTGTTCAGGCGAACACGGGCTTCGTAACGCGTTGCGTACGGCAAGGTTCCCATTGTTGTCATCTTGTAACTTTTGTGTGTGTGTGTGTGTATTATCTTTTGTTATCTTTATGTTTTTGGCTGTTTGCAGCTCTTTCGCCAACAATAGCGATGTTTACGGCGGTTGGAGGAATGCTTTTTCCTTTGTCGAGCAAGATTGGATTCGTATGGATTCACCCTTGTTAGTCTACTCCAAACCTGTTGACACCGTTCGAATGCTTTGTATCAAACTCGAACAAGCAAGTTTGGTGCTGTGTTTGGGACAGACTCAATGCACCCATCAAGCGCTAGCTAGCTACTAGTACGGCAGTACTAGTAGCTCCTGTACCAGCTGGTACTACCTACCACCCGTGTGTAAAACTCGAATGAATCGAATCTTTGCTCTTCTTCAAACCGAGGCGCCTTGTACTGTACTTTCCGTGAACCTCGATTCGCAAAACAATTTGATTGGCTGGTTTTGACACCATTGTCTCTGACAGAGAAATCCTCTAACCTTAATAACGCGACCTTTTTTTTGTTCTGACGTCAACCTCATTTCTTCTCTTCTGCAACTCCTAACGGTCATAGACAAGCGGAAGCACTTGCGGACTGTTTTCTATTGCTTGGGGAAGTGGTCGTAGGGCACGATGAACCATGGCATCACATCCGAGGATGATGACGATATGCTATCAGAGAGCAACAGGCCCGGTTCCCGTCTTGCCTTTGGTAGACTACTCCTAGCTATCTAGAGGAGGATGCAAATCCTGACAAGGAAGAGTCTCGGACATCATGCTGACGAAGGGAACTGACCAAATGACCTTCCCCCCATCCAATGCAGAATTGACAGCAAAGGAAGGCAATTGAACTTACTTGTCATCCTGTTGTTGCTTTGGTGTGTGAACGGTGATACTGACTGACAGCTATTATGAGGACGAGGACTTCCGAAGCTTCAACGAAGGAAACTCCTGTCAATACAGAAACACGCGATTGTCCTTCACAGTTGACTACACAGCAGCAGAGGCGACTGCACAAGTCTGCCAACAACTAACTGTGGAAATGAACAAAAACATGTTTCTGCCACAGATTCGTCCAACGAACAGCAAATGATCTCGTCAACGCTTCGAACCCAACCCTTTTGGACATGACATTGTATGTGATGAGGAGGAAGGTCATGTTTTCATTGTCTTTGATCTAAACTTCAACAATATGCAGGGATATCGGCCACCAGCGATACTTGATCTATTTGAATGCATGGTGCCAAATACATTGATCTATGTAACAATCAACTGAGTGGAGCACACATGACTTTGCTGATGCGGAATCATTGTTGATACAAAACAACAGTTTCAGTGGATCTCAACTCCCTTGGCAGCAGCCAGAAGCGACGGCAACGGCGGTTGAAAGAGTAGACATGGTCGACAAGCAAAAGTGATGGATGAGGAATCGGCTCCATGCACAGCAATAATAGGACTCCTTCAGGCGCCCAAAGGACAGCTGCTGAAGGACCCCACCCTTTGCGCTAAATAAAGACAATTTCATATATAAAAACAGAGTCTTAGCAGGTTATAGAGCCAGCTAGTTCGACATACAGTATTTGCAAAAGCCGAAGGTGTCGGTGGGTTGCAAGAAGAGCACAAACTAGTAAGAGATGAGCCGTTCGAGACTAGAGCATACAGCTGGTACGGCCATAGAAGCGATGGTTTTAGCTTGAGCTTGCTTTTCCAATCCGGACATTGGGTACATGATGTTGGGCTGCTTGCACAGCTTGGCAATCGCGGCCTGCTTTGCTGGGCGTCCGATCTTTGCGACTGTAGGCTCATGAGCTTTCGCAGTGACGGCTTTAACGGGTGCACGTCGATCATTTTTCTATCAGTGGTTGGAAAACTCCAATGAAGATCCCTCCTCCATGCACTGTCATTCGTCTGTTCATCATATAGATTTTTAGAACAGACTCCAACTCTTCATTGTACCTCCGCCAGAACAAGTCGGAAATCCATCTCCTGGGAAGGCAAATCGGCGCGTTGTAGCTAACAGCATCACCAAGAAACGTCGAATCAATTGGAGGGCTCTTTTTCCATCGCATGCGTGGTGGCATGGGCGGTGGTGGCGTTCGTGTTGGTGCTGCGGGATCGGGAGCCTTGCTTGTCCTTGGTATACATCGTTTCATGTACTCTAGAAGTCCCTTTCCAAAGTCTGTCAACAAATTATGATGGCTGCATGCATCTGGTTCTTCAAAGAATACTTCCATGACTTGAATCAATGTTTCTCGCGAGTATTCGTTGGCGCCTTTGTGTTGATTTGGCATGGCTGACTGTGAGGAATGATGGCTTGGTTCGATCTAAGCTCGGCCGTGTGGCAAAATTATGAGCTCGTTCCTTCCAAGCGAACCTTCTTCTACATGACTCATCATCTCGGATGCGCAGCTGTTTCGCTGTTTCGGTCGGATCGTTTTTGCCCGTGGAGGTCTGTCGGCATGGGAGTGTGGGTTGGGATACATCAACGAATGATTCAAATCATTTCGAAACTATCAATCTGGGGCAAATTGCGTTCTGTCAGATTTCAACAGATGTGTGTACAAGGTGACCATGACAACCCGGACGAGCTCATGCATCAAATTTGGAATCAACATGCCATGGGCCACCTCATGTACGTGAGAAGGATTAGTTTTAGAGGATACCCATACATCAAAGGTTTGTTCATTTTGAATGATGAGTCAGCCCCCCTTCCCACTGAGTTAGAGGTGAGTTCAATCCCTGATGACTGCTTCGAATGTCTCCGTCAACAATTCAAAGAAGAGCAAAGAATCGAAAACAACGCCACGGAGTACGGATCCCTTCCCTAGCTTAGCCCCACTTTAATCCTAGTAGGATCTTTAACATCTTCCCACATGATGTCCAGGTTGTGGTCCGTGGTCATGCAACTTGAGACAATACGGGCATTTGATAGTTGTTGTTCCTTGTTGCCTTAATTAATACAATTGGAATTCCGTAATACGCTTGTAGATACTCCCGCATCTGTTCTACGTCCATTGGGATTCCATTTGCAATAGATTCGTCAGTAGAGACCATTGTCATCTTATGTAGGTACCAAAGTAAATGTCAAGAATGTCCTGTATAGTCTGGCGTCTAGCAGGAATTTGTGGGTTCAACATCCAAGGATAGGAGCCTCTGTCTACCCAGGAATCAATGATCAAACCAACCACTCTCTTAGAGAGAATTCCCTTCTCAATCATCTCCTCTAACACCACGCGATGCTCCCGATCATACATTTTAGGTACTTATGACGTCCAGTGAGATTTCGGTACTTGGATGTCACTGAATGCAGCCTAGACATCCTCCGTCTTGCGCTTCTTTGCAAATCTCTCCATTGCACTTTCCTTCTGACTGTTCCATAGCGTTTCCGCTCTACAGACAACACTGCTCGAGGTGCCGAGTCCAGGAGCTGAGTCTTGTGGCAGCGCCTCAGCTACTGATATTCCCAACATATCCGCTTGTTTCGATTCCCCCATCATGAACCAACCCCGGTGTTTCTTCGCTGCCACTTGTCTACCATCGGCTTCAACACGATAGCGGCGGCATTTTCCTTCGAGCCAAACCGATAAGGGTACTTCTTGCCATGCATCTTCGCTCGGGTTCTCAGTCCCCATTTTGCACTGATATCCCGCGGCAACATTCCACGTCCCTCCTTCCTTGTCGAAATGCAAAAGAAAGAAATCGTACGTTGGAAAGGAAGCAAAGAGTGGCACAGCAACGACTTGTAACACATTCGTGTTGTGAAATCGGATGCTGACTTGTTCCACAACAGCTGCAAGAGTCTTCGCTTCGGCTGCAATATGAAACATCTCCGTCTCTTCTAGTGAATCCGAAATTGAAGGGTTATGAGGGACAAGTTCATGTTCCTTCTCCGAAACCAGCCGCACCAAAACAGCAAGCTGCGTCATGGCAACAAAAGCCTTTGCTTCGTCAACGCACGGGCTTTCCAATGTCGTGCGGAGAAGCGAATAGGCTTTCCCTAGAACCGCTGCTTGCGCCACCATAAATGGAGGCCAAGCAAATCGCGGTTTGCTCGATAGCTTAGAGGTGAAGCGCTCTGACATGTAGGAATAAGCACGGAACAAACCCCGTCCATTTGGAATATCCCCAATGTCGCCAGTGATGACCGCGGCTAGACACCGTTTGCGCTCCTCCTTTAACATCGCTGTGTCATTCACATCCGCATATATATCTTCGGCGTAAGATGGGATGAATTCTGGTTTCAGGACTAACAGTGCCGGAAGCCTACCCCGCAACACAGCGGACCAAAAGGACAACTGTTCATTGGGCGACTGCAGCATACCACGCAAACAACCTTCCCCAGTAATCCGAGGGATCGGCAACCATAAATGAGGCCGTTTTGATAGGGTACTAGTAAGGGAATAGTTTGTTGGCGTTCGTCCACGCAACAGGTCGGCGGTCTCGCGCTGGTGGGTGCTGTAAAGCAGAGCACATCCTTCCTGTTGGATAAAAACATCCAAAAGCGAGCTCAAATCAGTGTACCGCCCTGCCGCATGAGGAATTACGTTCAATTCATCCACAAGAAGGAGGACTCGGTTTTCAGGGTTTGTTACCCATTCATCGACCGCTCCAAAGTCATCATATTTTTGCGCAAAGAGCCGGAAACGAGGTTCACGGCCACTCAATTCCCAAGCGATTCTTGACAAAATAGCCGTGTAAGCATCCTCGTCGAGGTTGTATCCCGAAAGACTAGTCAAAGATACGAATAGCACAATCATTCCGCTATCTGTAACTCTGCTATCTTTCTGCAACATGGAGGCAACAGCATGAAGCATAAAAGTCTTTCCCCCCCTTCGGCAGCGCTGTATTGCCAGCGCCGCCGCGCGATTCTCCCCTTGGTCTACAGTTGCGGCTTGTTCCAGTAAGGAATCTACCGCTCTTTCAAATTCGCCATGGTTGACAGCATTAACATATCTTAACAGCCTGTCATACTCTCCCTGAAAATTCCTCGAAGGAAACGGGTTGGGTATCTCAAAGGCAACCATTCCGATAGCTGTTGTTGGTTGTTGTGGCAGCTGCAGCGGGCGTTGTGTTGTTGTGTTTGTTGCTCCGCCAGGAGCGTTCCTCAATCGTGCATGAAACAGACCCAATAAGTCAGCCGGAGCTGCGATACCTCGGCAGAAAGACAGATAGAAGAAGGGGGATTATGTTCGGATTGCACCCATCTTTCAAGCTAGCCCTGGCGACAACACCCGACTACGTCGTGTGTTGCCGCCCGGTATCATTCATTCCCTCATTGCAACCTTCTTTTTATTAAGCTAGCCCTGGCGACAACACCCGACTACGCCCGCTACTCTATAATTTACCAGCTGCCATTCCTTTATTGTAACTCTAACCTTTACAGCTCCTGCTGGCTTATTGTGCTGTTGTGCTGATTGCACTAACCTTAAATATTAATGATTTATTCCTACCCCTAACTTGTATTGAACCATCAATGTTCAGTTTTGTTGGCTTATGACTATCTCTATCCTTATACTTTGGCTTCACCGGAATAGGAAATAGGAAATAGGAAATAGGAAATAGAAAATAGGAAATAGGAAATAGGAAATAGGAAATAGCATTAAAGGGGTTGAGAACTCAGGCAGTTTACCTGCCGAGGTAATAGGGTCGGATTTAGGGTTGGATTCCCTTGACCTCAGCAGTCTATCTGCCTGAGCCCTCACCCCCTTTTTTGGTATTACGTCTCCTGAGACGACGCACCTTTTGGTTTCCCCCTCAGTTGCACTCAGGAATCGATTTGCCGGCGTTTACTGTGTAAAATAGAGTAGCGGCACTTCAGTTGCAGAATCAACGGTTATGTGTATCGTTAAGTAACAAGTTTCCTTTCGAAAGATTTATATTGATTCGTGGATAGAAAGAATCGTTGAAGTTACTAAGGTTAAGGTTAAACAGTACCGATACTCGTCAATATATCCTCGCACCTCTGCTTCCAATCGAATGATTCGCACTTCTGTTATCCAAGCCTCACTCAAGCAGGCTGTCTCCGGTGCAGAAGGGAAAGCCATCCCTCATTGAATCCTATGGACCATGGGATGGCAGTCAGTTCTCGGCCCATGACAGCCAAGTTGGTGCAATTTGAAAAACAAGTCGCCGGTCGTCTGCAGTTCAGCACAGAAAACAAAACTCATATCTATTTGTTGTTTTCTCTGCTGCACTGCTGACAGCAGATGAAATACCATTTTGGAGTCCTTTTCGAACCAACGAATGATCGCTATGCTACCGCTCCTACAGAGGAGACTTTTAACTCAAGCCCTATCAACAGCATGAACGCACAGAGAAGATCGTCGTCGAGTTATTGAATGGCAACAAGAGGAGGCTATACGATAACACTCACACGATACGCACAGAGGAGAGTGGATCCTACTACTGGATTCATCCCTCCAGTGTTATTTCCTAGTGTTTTGGTGATGATTCATGTGTCGGTACCCACTTTCCTGTATGCACAAGTCCTCGGGCGAACGACTTGATTCTTTCGTACGATAAAGATAGATAGATAACTCGTAAGATAATAGATCATCGATTACCGACCAATAGACCACTCCTTTCATTAGATAGACACCTTATAGTATCTAGATCAAAAGGATTGACAAAATTCGGTTGTGTATATATTCATCAAAGGATCCAATGCGAGGTACATGTACCGGATTGTAGCGAGCAAAGCCGAACCTGAGTGTGTTCAGTACTGTTGCCACTGTCGCCGATGTAACTATACGGCAGCCGGCTACAATGGCTGGATTGACAATATTCGGTTGTGCATGTATTCGTCATAATGATCCAACATGAGGTACTTGTACCGGAGTGTAGCGAGCAAAGCCGAACCTGAGTGTGTTCGGTACTGTTGCCACTGTTGCCGATGTAACTATACGACAGCCGGCTACAATGGCTGGATTGACAATATTCGGTTGTGCATGTATTCGTCTGAAGGATCCAATACAATATAACCAAGTGTAGCTAGCGAGCAAAGCCAAACCTGAGTGTGTTCGGTACTGTTGTCACTGTGGCTCATCCATGTAACTATACGGTAGCTGGCTACATTGGCTGGATTGACAATACTCGGTTGTGGGTGTATTCATCATAAAGATCCAATGCATAGCGAGCAAAGCCGAATCTGAGTGTGTTCCATACTGTTGCTCCTGTCGCCGATGTAACTATAAGGTAGCTGGCTTGTGCATTCGTCATAAAGGAGTGTACTGGTAGGGAGCAAAGTGGCAGTGAGAAGCAGGAGACGAGCCCTGAAAAAAACCGAATTTCCTGTTTCCTACTTCCTGTTTCCTGTTCCAGTGAAACCAAAATATAGGGGTAGAGATAGGTGTAAGCTAACAAAATTGGAAATTGAAGGTTCTACAAATTTAGGGGTAGGATGAAATCATGATTATTCAAGGTTAGTGCACTCAACACAATAAGCCAGCAGAAGCTACAAAAGTTACTGGTACATACGGAAGTGACAGCTGTAAAACTATGGTTAGCGGGCAGAAAGACATCACGAAGTTGGGTGTTGCCGCCAGGGCTACCTTGAAAGAAGGGTGCAATCTCAAACATGTCATCCTTCTTCTATCTGTCTTTCTGCCTAGGTATCGCAGCTCCCGCTGACTTAAAACCCTAAACCGACCCTAAAAATAGGGACGGTTTCTGAAAAATAGGGATGGTTTCTGAAAAACTGTCCCTAATTTAGGGTCAGGTTTCGATTTAGGGTCGGGTTTGAAAACGCCCCTAAATAGAAACGGGACTGAAGGGTAAATACATTGAAAACGCACCAATATTAGTGTCGGGTTTGAAAACCGAACCTATAATAGGGACGGTTTCTGAAAAATAGGGACGGTTTCTGAAAAACCGCCCCTAATTTAGGGTCGGGTTTCGTTTTAGGGTCCGGTTTTGAAACCGTCCCTATATTTAGAGACGGATTCCCCCAAACCGACCCTAAATTAGGGTCGGATTTAAAGTCATGCACAATTGAGGAACGCTCCTGCTGCTCCCTTTGCCTGCGATTGTGACATTTCGGATGACTGACTGACGAAATTTATTTAGCATAAATACAGCGTAATAGGTTTACTGCACTACGCTAAAAGCTAGTGTAAAGATCTTTCGAGTGTTTTGAGTTTGAGAGAATGAAAGTTATGAGAGGATTAGAAAGCTATGAAAACTAATCAACGAGAGAGATCCACAATCAAAGGATCGTAGATCTGAACTCCCGCGGGAGACTGTAGAGTGTGATAGAGTAGGTTGTGGTAGCAATCCTACTCACTCCACGATCCAAAAACGGAACGCGTGGAAGATTCGTCTAGCATTTATCTAGTAGCGTGGAAGTACTCCACGCTGGCTAAATATCTAGAGCGATGTTTCATCATCAACCTAGTATGACTAGAGCGGTCATTGAGAACCCTGTCTCCAATGACTATTCGCGAAGGACTACGTCATGAGTCGAACTCAAACCCTATCTAGGATCGAGTCGCGAATAAGGCTAAGAGCCGTGTATTGCATTCGCCCCCTGACAAGGGTCACGGAAGGCACGACATCAGTCGGACAAGGAGAACATATGAATTAAAGTGCGGGGCACTCTCCGGAGATTGGATGTAGACATGTGCGTCGCACGATGGCAATCCTACAAGGGGATCAGGCCTTGTATGGGTGTAAATACCTTATGTTCCAAGTCTGGTAGACTGTGCCGCTACTGGCGGTAGTATGTCGGAGCCGTACAGTGCCATTGTTATTGACTCGGTCTGTGTGGTAAGGACCTTGTGCGTTGGCTGACCGTACTAATGGTTCTGATACTGATGAATCATCATAGTATCGTTGACATGGTGTTGATGAGGGACACGTGCCGTGTTCTCCTTATCGGTGTTTTTCTGGATAAGTCGTTGGCGACGTTCCTTAATGTATTTCCGGTTTGCTTTGAAACGGATGTGGTGAGTCTTGTCACGATTGACGCGCGTGAACTTGCGACGAAGTCCATGTTCATCCCGGAGAGTCTTCTCGACCTCTACGCCTGGGATCACGTTCACTGCATGACAACCGTCATGGGTACTGGGTAACCTACGTCTGTTTCAGAACGATGGTTACTCCGTCTGCTGTCTTGGAGCATCCTTGGTAGTTCATTGATCCAATGAATCTACGAAGTCCTTCCTATTGGTAGGAAGAGCGATAGCTGGGTCGCATCTATTATCTTTTTAGTTAAGGGTTGGCTTTCTTCTCGAGAAGCCCAATTGTTTAGATACTCCAGTTCTTCCTATCTAGGAAGGCCTTGGTAGTGTGATTTCAGTTCCGACTTCTTGAAGTCTTTGGAAAAGGTCATCCTACTGTTCAACGCGATCTGCGAGATCGACGTCCGTAGGCTGAGTTGATCATCAATGTATGCACGGACATCCTCCAAGTCATGCATGCGTGTTTTCATCTTCCTTTGGAAGATGTCGGGACTAATACATAGGCCCATTGGCAACCTCTGGTACTCGTGCTTTCCCTTCGGGAGTGCAATGGTATAGTGTTGCTTCGAGTGAGTGACAGCTCGATGTGGTAGTGTCCCGTGTTCAGGTCTAGTCTAGTAGCACACTTGAATCCATCTAGGTTCAAGAGCATGTCCTGTATTTTTGGGATAGGATAAGGCTTCCGCTTGATCCGTTGTTTGGTTCCCGAAAATCAGAGATGAATCGTACCGATCCCTCTTTCTTGGAATGATAAAGGTTGGCGCCGTCCACTTGGAACGATTCACCTTCTTGAGTACCCTGCCTCGCAGAGACGTTCAACCTCCTCCTTAAGAGTGTTGGTGTGAACCTGTGGAGTAGGGTGAGCCCTAGTATAATAGGATTTAGCGTCGGGACGAAGTTCTACTTCGTAGTCGTCCATTCGCAACTCTCCCGAAGTATCCTCGACTGGGTCGAAGCACTTGGTTGAAGGCATGAGGCAGTTCTTGCTCTTCCTTATTTACGGGTTTCGACTCGGGCACATCTGCCTTAAGTCTATTTGTTCGTATGTCGTGTCAAGAATCCTCTTGAGACTATCTGCATTGTCGCTGACAGCTGCAGGATCGGAAATGGAGAAGTT